CAGCGCGACCCACCACGAGACAGCCCAGCAGCAGCAAACGTGGCTCGACCTATCAGGGTTCAAGACTCAGGCTTTCGGGTTTAGGAATTACCAGTAAGTTCGTCGGCATACTTTTTTCTATTCCGCCGATTCGGCGTAGAATTTCCTTGCGTCGCAAAAAAAGTAAACAGCGGAACACCCTTGAATAAACCATGGCGCCGGAAAAAGTATGCCGAGATAGACCCTTGGGAATCTCCGATGTTACATGATGCAATCCAAACATGATGTTTGCTTAGAGATCTGAGTCTGCCCCATTTGAGACATTGATTGATGGAATCCTTGCGTAAGGCCTGGGCAAAGGCTGTAGAGTCGTTGCTTACAGATCTGGGAGAGGCTATTGAATCGTTGCTTAAATGTCTGGGAAAAGGCTGTTGGGTCGTTCTTTAAAGGCCTGGGAAGAAGCTACACTGTCTGGTTGGGAAAGGGCTATTGAGCCGTTGCTTCAAGTCTGGGAAAAGCTGTTGAGTATTTCTTCAAAGGCCTGGGATGAATCTACGGAGTCTTGTCAGTCTAGCTGGGAAAAAGCTATTGAGTCGTTGCCTCACAAGGTCTACAAAAAGCCTGCCTTAAACGTTTGGGAAAGGTTGTTGAGCCCTTGCAAGCAGAAATCCCTCGAACGATCCGGTCGGAATTTTCATGCACATGCACTCCAGACTTCAAGAGGTTCGGCGATACTCGGGAGTGATTCGCTCGCCTGCATAGAGCAAATAACGCTGCAAACACCGCAGCGAGACATACTGGGCACCTGCACGTCTTGAAGCTCTTGCATGCACCCCCACGAAGTCTTCATCCATCTGTACCGTGAAGGCGATACAGTTCAATGTCCAGGCGGAAGCCCGAGCTTGGGACTTCAGGTCGATGAACAAGTGATGGATGTAATGAACCTTCGGAGTGATTGGAAACCGATCGCGGTTCGCTTGGAAAGTCAAATGAACCAGGTGGCCGTAGCACTTCAAAAAGTTCATGCCTGTAGATGAAGCATCCAGCGCCTGATGCTGTGTCATCCACAGCCCACTCTTGTATAGCAAACGGATACAGGCATTCAGGTTGGCTACCGCAGTATACGTCCAACCCAAAATGGCATCCTCGGAGGCCATTGAAGCATGCTTCTCACAGAAGTCTTCGAAAATCTCCAGAAGCAATGTTGTATCGCTTGCTTTTTGCCAAGCTCCTTGAGGGCATTTCTGGTAAGAGTCGAAACCAACGCTCAGCTCGCTCACATGCCGACAGTATAGTTTCTGACCATGTCGCTGCAGGTAAGCCTGCGCGTGCTCATCCAGATATGCAAACCTCTCCTGGACGTTGTTTCCTGAGTGTTGTTTGTTGTACCCTATCGCACTGAAACGACCCAAACTTGTTTTCCAGGAAACGTACTAACAAACGACTACCCTTGGAAAACTCTTAAGGGTCTTATCGAACAAAGAAAACACCCAAATAGACTAATTTTATGTTCTGGGGAACCTGAATAAAACCAGCATAAACACATAGAGAATTAAAAACTATTCCAGAATCCATGGCTTTGAAGGCAGGAGGCCTGGCAGAAAAGGGAGCCATTCCACCAGAGCAGAGGCGAGAAACACCTTTCCACACCCTAAGTGCAGGCAGTGCCAGAGGTCTGGCTTCAGGAACCCCCCAGCATTTCCAGGATCGTGGAATAATCGAAAGATCAAATCCGGAGGGCTCTCCCAGGGGGGCTCAATCCCAACAGACCGCAACCAAGCAGGATTGTCACTGAAGTCTTCATAGTCCCAGCCAGGTTTGCCAGCAAGGCAAAGGTGGCAGAGCCCATTTTTTGCTTGCTGTCCACTGCGCTTGCTCACGTGGGTATAGGACCGAGTGAGGCTTGCGACCTTCGCAAAAAACTGTAGATCTCCAACACTTCCAATAAATGCACAATGCCACGTCTCGACACCAGACTTCGACTTGATCTGGATCCCGGTTGTTAAGCTTGCATAGATCCTCGACCAGTGCTTCGAACATCCGCATCAAGTATGAGCAGTCGGTGCCATATGATTTCTTTGACAGTACAAATGATAGAAAGCGTGTCTCCATCGAGTGGCCCTTGATGTTTACAGGCATAGCCTGTTCCTGCATTCTGGGTGCATCTTTGTGAAACTCATGGAAGGCCTTGCATCCTGCACCGATCAGGCCATGGGTGTTGACTACCATGGCTGGAAGTCGTTTCCTTCCACGGCCTTCATCCCCATGAATGACCATTGGTATTGTTCGATCGGGGTGCATTGTACCAGCAGCGAAGGCAGCATGAACAGTGTTGTTTGGCTCCACCTCCTGAAAACGACTCCAGAATTCAGGTAAAACACTTGCTGGCTGTTGGCCGAAAAGGAGGTCCAATTTGCCCAGGTCCGCAAGGTGTTGAAACAAATCGCTGGGTCTAATCATTGGCAGGTCACAGTTGCTGTCCCCCACGTTGACATAGGAGATCGGAACATCCAGTGCCAGGCCAAACTCTTTAAACCTGAGTGCTCGGAAAAGGCTGCCACAAAGGTTTAAAGTGTTCTTACAAGGCAGGAAGAGGCTTCATCTCATACGGCTTGTGACACCCATAATACACACTTTAAACACATGCACATGTATCTATAGAATCTAGACTAGCGCACATGCATGTATACACCTTACACAACCCCAGTCTCGACTTACTAGTAACTTACCCGAAAAACCATAAAGACAACTCGAAACGAAACACGTTAGGAGAACCCGGCATCCCTTAACTTCCCTGGGCAGCAGTAGAGTGCTTAAGAGGGAGTCCGCTGTAAGGGTTTCTAGAGGGGTTCCGACAAGGGATCCTTAAGGGCTCGATCCTTTAAGGGGTCTACATCGGTTTTAGGTTTATAGGGTACTGCAGGGCTTAAGGGATCTAGGGATGTTAAGGGTCGTAACCTTTTGACCTGACGTTTTGGTTTTGGGGTTGTGGTTTTGGGTCTAATAGGTTTCGGGTTGGGGTTTAGGATTTGGGTAAGGGTTTTACATGGTCTATTTTGGCCTCTCCGGAACGTGGCTGAAGAGCCGACCTAGAACTTCTATAATCTCGACCTATGTGTACATATATATATATATACATATGTTTATCGACTATTGAATCTATATATAAATTTATAGACTATATAGATACAGGGCTATAGGGTTTGTATAGGGTGCTTCAATTGTGTTAGTATTATCTGAGCAGGGTTAAAAGGGGTTGTGTGGGATCCTGGTGCGGACTTCATCAAGAGCAAGCTCCAGCTGATGATCTGATGATGTGGATGCAGCTTAGTCGCAGCTCATGCCCTGTATCTTCTAGCCGATTTTCTGAAGCTTTCGCTAGCCCATCAAGCAGGGAGTCACCGGAGCGTCGGGGATCAGCAGTTGCAGCCCGCACGAAGCCAGAGATAGTAGTCCCAGTGGCCTCAGCAGCGGATGTGAGATTGGCATTTGTTAAGCAAACCTATAGTCGATGGCAGTGCTTTGCTCATGCATGCTTGCGACTGACATCAACGATTCTGCAATCGATCTTTTTCACACTCGGAGATCTCGACTAGAGCACATGTTTGATTGCAATGTACACGAAGTAGGCTGAAGGAAAGTGGTCTGGCCCCTCGCCACCAGGGTTATCATTATGGCAACCTTGTCGCCGTCTGTACAACCGAATTAAATGAGCCTCCAAACACTTGCACATCGTGCTGTCTGCTGACATGTACAACAGATGCATCCGATGATATCCTTCGTCGCAGTAGCCTTCCACCCGCCGAACAGGATCATGGGTAAAGCCCACTTTGAAAACTGCACAACCAACAGACTGCAGAACCTCAGCAGATCAAGTCCAAATCGTTTTCGACACAATTGTCGGCACGGGAGCAGTATTAACCATAACTGCCGAAAGCCGAGGCACTATCTCGACCATCGCTTCAGCATGGGCAAAGATCTTGCCAGGTGTCTTGCCAACAGATTTAACATCAGGCAAAGTAATCTTCAGCAGATCTCTCTTTTGCAAGATTCCATCCCAAGTCTCTGCAATGTCTGGTAGGCTGAGAAGCTCTGCAGACATGTACTTGTGATATCTCCAATGAACTGAAGATTTGTCATCACTGGTGCCTTATGTTGATCAGGGTGCCCCTTCCTCAATGCAGCCATCCCCAAGCGTCTATATAATTGAGTCCAGTTGCTCATCACGGTCTTGCTCCCAGGCTCGATCGCTCTCTTCCTTGAGGCAGGGCAGTGTGCGCACAGGAATGGGTTATGATTTATATTTGTTCGATGGCATAAATTCGAAGCCAGGTGTCTGTCGTTTTGGAAACACTAGGAGCTCATCGAACCACTCATCCATGGCGGCGGCTACGACATTGACCGAATCAATCTATAGTTTTTCAAAGTAATTCGGGTGACAATAACCATATCAAGTATACTTAGGTTTTCTAAACCTGTATACTACATATATTTATACACACATGTACATATAGACGAATTGGACTAATTTATACCCAAAGGAATGTCTAAGCCTTGGTTTGCGAGGTCTACAGAGCTGATTGGGGCTTCGGGATTTCTAGGGCTTCGAGGTTTCTATATATATATATATATATATATATATATATACATGTATATGCATATATATATATATAGACATATGTAACCTTTACCTAGGTTGGTTGTTCTACATAAGCGATATACCTCACTGGGTCCAAAGCCCGGGGTTGTGGTTTGCGTAGGTTCAGGGATTGTTGCTTCTGGCGGCTTTCGATTCTGGTATGCTTGTCTCACTTAACTAAACAACTGCACGAACCTGAGACAGATCGGTAGATATTGCTCGAAAACCAACATGAGCTCGCAACTCAAGCAAAACAGAGCAGCATGGCTCCAAGGCAAAGGCCCCTCGAACCAACTGCTTGGCAGCTTCTTTGCCGAGTGTGCCAGCCTGACCTGGCATGGATATATCAGGGAAAGCACAGCACACATATGTATGAGGTTTCTCAGCACTCACATACAGGCAGAAAGACTGCATTCATTGTGTTTTCATCTCGCGCGACGTCACCATCATCCCAAAGCTCTCAGTGTGGTCAGTACTACACCGATCAAAGCATATCAGGCTCACAAAAGCAGGGCTTTGTGCTGCAGTGCGAAAGATGCAAGCACCAGCCGTGTAGCAGCAGACCAGTGGAGCAACACATTGGTGAATAACGTAACATCAGTATCTGTAGATAGTGTTGTACACATAACGTACTGGCTCTGGCCTGCAAAGAGCCATGCATACGGTTCAAAACTAGTTGGCCTTCGCCTTTGCTTTGGACTTTCCTTTAGCTTTGGCTTTGGGCTTATTATTGACAGCAGAAGCCGGTGGGGCCCCGGAGTGTCCCTCATTTCCCGGTTTCTCCTTGTCCTTGAGCGCCTTCTGCAGCTCTGTCAGAACTGGCGTCACCTTGTTCTCGATTGAGACCGCCTGGACGGCCCTGGGATGAAAGAGGTGGGTTGGCCAGGTAGGACTACAAGGGATTTTAGGGATCTAAACGGTATCAGGTTTATTTAATTAATTTAGATCGGGTTCTGGGTTCATAGGGAGTCGATCAGGGCTTGGGTTTCGAAAGACTTAACATGGCTCGAACGGTCTATCATTTTTTAAAGTTTATGTTTCGGCACTGAATAGAGTTCTGCATGAAACTTAAAAATAACAATCAGGTTTAGGATTTTAGGGGGCCCACGAAGAATTCCAGGCCAGATCAAGAAGCCCTGTATAGTTTACACAACCTACTCCAACAAAAACTCAAAGGCCCTAAGCCCCTCGATCATCATAAACCATATAATATTGCCCCAAACCCGGTAACCTTCAAGCCCACATCTTTTAATCCTGATAAAGGCCTGGTCGGGATTACACGTCTATAATGAATATGATTAGTTTAATATGATGATAAGTAAGGCCTCTAGTGATCGAACTGTATTCCCAGGAGTGATTTGCAACCCAGTCACAGGACAGAAGCCGTCTCGATAGACATGTCAATCTCGGTATGCAGCCTCGATTCGTTTTGAAAAGACTAGGTGGTTAGATGCAGGAAACACAGAGAGTGCATCTACATATTGCCACACCAGGAAGCTTGGGGGTCATGCGTAGGGAGGCAGTTGCTTTGATCATACTCATATTGTCATAGTGGCGCTCCAATGCTGCAGCATGAGATTGCAGCTCACCCGCCAGCCTCAGGGTGGAGCCATGCATGCAGCTTATTGGTTGCTCTGAGCCTGAGCCTGAGAGCCTAAATATTTTACAAACCCTAACCCCAGCAATAACTTATATAGCTCCTGTATACTATATCCCTCCCGAAACCCTACACAAGCCCACCCTTGATAGCCTCTCGTGCAGATCATTGGGAGTTGGATTTTTGGGCTTCAGCAGCTGGTCGGCCAGATCACGGTGTCTCAACACCTTCGATAAAACTTCAGCCAAGCCCCGATCGAGCATCGTACGGGGATCCTGGGCATTCGGAGTTGATTGGCAATGGGGTTTACAGGGCCTTCTGTTTTGCATGATAATTGGCACAGCTTCACTAGGGGATTATCTCCAAACCCTATAGCCAAGTAACTTCCGCCCCGGCCAAACCACCCTCCTCAGCAGCTGGTCCCGGGGGCTGATCATCGAAGGTTGTCTCCACCACTGGGAGGGTACCATCAGCCTGCAGGGTTCAGCCAAATTTGCAGGGTCATAGGGCTTGAAGAGGAAACTAGAGTGGATGTGTGGTGTTCTGGCTTGCAAGGCTTATAGGGGTTTATGGGTTCGGAGGTTTTGGGTTTATAGGGGTTTAGGATTTTTTTGGGGATGTAGGCAATATATATATATATATATATATATATATATACTAGCACGGGTCTAAAGGATTGTATTAGGAATTCTCAGGCTCCTTGGTTGTAACCACGGGTTTCTAGGAAAAGGTTTCGGGGGGTCCAATCGATGAGGCTTTGTGCCTAAGACCCATGCATGATTGTAGTTGAAGCACCTCCTCGGTACGCTCATTCGTGGTGCGATCGATATTCTTCTTCGTGATCTCTCCAGACCAATGCGTCTCAACCCAATACTGATTCAAACTCGTGTCATACTTCCATGGCCTCAGAAAGAAAAATGTTCTCAGGTCTTTGATTAGAAACATGCATCATTGCAAGGCAAGTGTAGAGCACACAGAAACCGTAGGTGCCAAGAGTCCGTACCAGCTTCGTTGGGTTGAGGCCACAGTAGTCCACGATCTTCTTGATCATCTTCCTCAGTTGGCATTGAAGTGGCATGGCACATATAGCAATTGCAGGGTTTATTGTGCGAGAACTCACATGCACCATCAAGTTTCGCATCGTAGCCCAGCTCATCCTTCATGGCTGCAGCCGTATACCATCCAGCCTGAACCTTGAGGCTCTTCTCATTCTCGACGATGGTCATCTTCGTGACCATGGAGGCGAAGGCTTTCTGTTAGGGTGGGCAGAAGACTTAAGTAATTCACTTCACGGGTATTGAAAGACAGTACTGTAAGGGTCCTGCTCGAAGCCAGAGTTCACTAGCGCATGTGCCAACTCCTTGCGATTGTTCACATCCTGGTACTTTTTGAAAGCATCTTCTCCCCCTGGCACTTTGCCAGATTTGCGTCGTTTGCACATGCGACGGAGCCGTTGAAGAACAGCAGCATCTGTCAATACCTCATTTAATTGCAAAAGCAGCTAGAAACACAGACCACACAGTGAAAGTATGAATGATTTGTCCTATCTATGCATTAAACAGCTAGGGCGGCTAGGGAGCCTTTCCAGTCTTCGGGCAAAGAACCACCCCAAGACCAAGGCCTTCCTCGTCCATCTCTCCATCACCCCCATTCTCCGAGTCTGAGTCACCCTCCGCCTGCGTTCCCTGATTGCTGCGAGCATCGGATGCTCGGGATGCTGGGGCTGGGCGAAGGCTTGCAGACCCGGATCGGGAAGGTGGGGCTGAAGGGCCCTCGGAACCTAATCGAACACCTGGCTCGGCTGGCTTCGGGGTTGCTGGGGAACTCAAGAGCTGCAACTTCCTGTGAATCTCAGCTTGCTTGGCTGCCAGCAAGTCGGCTTCTTTCTGAAGCAGCACTGCTTCATCTGCCTGAGTTGCTCTAGATCGATCATGGAGCCAGATTGAAAATGTATTGAGAATCCATGAAGAAACAAACTCATGCGACCTGGTTGCAGGCTCTGAGCGTGCAAAACTCGGAGGCCTGCTGTGATTTCGAGCCTTCTTCTCCCTTTTCAGATTTGAAGGCACCATGGATTCGGAAGGGGTCTGGGGAGCCTGCTGGCCAGCCGGGATTGTAGCCGGGGTTGGAGGAAGACTTCGAGAACGCTCAGAAGTGGGCGTCAGGGGCACTGGGGATGCCATTACCAGGGTAGGCTGCGTTTGGCCCTCAAATGCATCAGCCAGGTTCTTGGCCACACCATCCATTCCAGGCACCTTAGATAGCTTTAAACTATTGTAGAAAATCAGGCCCTATAGAGCTGTAGTTAATTCAAGAGATCATGCAAGTCTTCACAGGGCACATAATTAACACTCTGGGCGGGAGGCTGGTTCACCTTTCACCCTCTTCGTAGGTGGAGAAACACCCGGGGATGCATTCTTCTGTGCATCGACATCTGCGATTTTGGCTCGCAACTCCTGCAATTGATGTTTGGTTTCCTCTGGAGAATATGTGAAAAGACTGACATAACTAATTCCCCTGTGACAGTGCAATCCCACCTGAACACGTTTTCGCATCACCTCCTCCATTTGTGCGTCTTCCTGCATCAGTCCTTCGTATCCCTGCTGCAGGTCAGAGCACGACCAAAGCTTGGAGCCCAACATGGCTCTATGTGCACGATAAACTTAGGTTGCTTACAGGGTTATAGGTTTAAAGGGCTAGGTAAAGACTGAGGCCACAACAGGTTACGGTGCTCGATCCATATTAGCCTTATAAACCCTGTATAACTCCGATATTTAATGAAACGCCCCAACGACACCCACCTTGGAAACCTTTAACCCTATACAGTAGAAGCCAGAAAGTTGGAATATCATTGTCGTAACCCCGTTAAGGTAAATTATAGGGGATCCTACCATTAATCCATATTCCAACTTTCTGGCTTTTACCCTATATATATATACATAAAAGGATCTATATAGAGGTCACAAGGGATATACGGGTTTTTGGGTGCATTGTATATATATATATATATATACATATATACATATACATATAGGACTAGGGGGGGCGATAGATGGCTGTTGAGTATATATGTAAGTAATGTACTTTGTATATACATCGACTTTGTACAGGGGCGAGGTTCCGGGCTAGTGCATCTGTGCACAGCTGCTCTTGCCATCCAGGCTGATGCGGCACTTAACATTTTGACCACAGCAACCCGTCTCAGGCTCCGTTTGCCGGGTCATATACAAGTCAGATCATCAGTCCTGCCAGAAGACAACTACAGCAAGTATCGATTTAGGTACATCAGCTACATTAATTATACAATATAGTACTTAAGGTGCGTTCCGTTACCTAGACTACACATCAACGACAATGAATACCATATGTAGATTAGATTGATCAACCCTCCTAAAACTTGACACCTTAAGTAACTTATCATGATCGAATCTGAAAAGGGTTTGATCGGAACAGGGTCCCCCCGATTGAAAAGTCGCACAGCCAGTCCTTGGCACATATGTACGGAACCATTGAAACATCTCATCATTGAGCCTGATGGGTGACTCGACCGAGTTAAGCCAGTATAAAGTATCACCCAGGCAGCGACCAAGCAGCGAATCACACCGTGGCATGCGTCAGGGAGCCAAGACCTGCAGCAGTAGGGTGGCAAGGTTTTCAATTTATAAGGGTCCATTCAGGGTTTCAGTACTTCAAGAAGGCTGTCACAGGTCTGAGACATTGGCTTTTGGAGTGGGCTGCATCATCAAACCAGCATCAGCTCAAAATTTGTCCTGAAGAAGACTCGTACATGGAAAGTGAACTAGGCTATCAGAAGTGGAAACTGAGCAGCAGAGTCCTTCCAGTAGGCCAGAACCAGCCGCCAAAGCCCCATCTCAAGCAGCCTGCGGAGAAAGTAAGCCGAGCGGGGAAAGTACGCCATTACGCGTTGGTTCGGGTTGAGTACGGGTAAAAGGTGAAATCTGAGTACGGCTTTTTTTCGACATTATTTCACGTTGGTACGCTTTGGGTTCGGGTACGGTTTTCAGTACGGGTTCGTTTTCACCATTTTTTTCACCATCGGGGGCCCCAGCACCCTGAAAAAGTAAACCTGCCGGATCGGAAAAAGTAAACCCAGCCGCGCCCCAAAAAAGCCCCCGCAGCCAGCCAAAGCCCGCAACCAGCCCCAAAAGGTGGCCAAACCCCCACCAGCCAACCCAAAAACTGCCTGGACCCCGCCCAGAGCCCAGCAGCCAGCCCCCAAAACTGATCCACCAAGTTTGCAGGGTCCTCTATAGGGCTCAATCAAACTAGATCAAGTGGGTTTCTGTGCCAGTGTTCTGGGATTTTGATTAGGATTTGGGGATTTGCTGAATGGCAGTTCTTTCTGCAGGGTACATGGTAATATGCTATTCAGCAGCATGGGTCTCAAGGATCGATTATTTAGAGTTCAAAGGGTTCTCGGGCTCAAGGTTTGGGGGTGCAAACTTAAGTTGATAAGGCCTTAATTGTAAAATTGTGCATTAACTATATATATATATATGATATTAAATTATATGAGTATATAAGATCGATGGACTGTATATGAGTGTGATTGGAGCACCTCTTGCATCTGCTCGTTCGTGGTGCGATCGGCGCTCGTTTGCGTGATCACTCCAGACCCACCAGTCTGAACCCAATAGCGCATAATGGTCTGGTCATACTTCTCTGGCCTCAGAAAAGAGACTGTTCTCCGGTCCCTGATTAGAAACATTATTGCTAGGCAAGTGTAGAACACATGCACACAAACAGTTTAGTTGCCAAGAGTCTGTACCAGCTTTTGTGGGTTGAGGTTGCAGTTATCCACGATCTTCTGGATCATCTTCCTAAGTTGGCATGGCTTTGAAATGGCATGGCATATATGTAAAGCAATTGCAGGGTCTATCATGGGACAACTCACACCATCAAGTTTCGAATCGTAGCCCAGATCATTCTTCATGGCTGCAACCGTATACCATCGACCTTCCTGAAGCATCATCTTCGTGATCACGGAGGCGATCGAGGCATCCAGGCGAGAGCTAGATGGCTGACAGTCGAAGTATAGTGCCGTAAGCACACAAGGACGGTCGCTGAGTTGCAGACTATTAATGCAGAGCAAGCACATCTTTTGGCCCGCTCCTTGTGACCTTCTAGCTTGATCTAGCACCCTATACAAGAGCCCAAATTAAGCCTATATATGCCAGCAGCATCAGTGACAATCCTGATCGACACACAAAATCACTCAGGCAAGGAATGTGGTAGGAGTGGTCGCCAACCCTCTGGAATCTTCAAATGTTTGTTGCCCCGCAAGTATCTAATCACATCCGTCATTCGGCTTTCTTCCCAAAGGTCTGAGAAGATCATCTGCTGGAACATGGTGGCGATGTCAGGCACCTGCAGGAGTACATTATATAGGTAATTAGGTACTTAATGCACTATACACCTACAAACCAGAAACCTTTGTAGGTCCCCTATGATCGAAGAAGAGACAACCCTATACAAAGTCTTTAATTAAGGGCGTATAATTGCATAAGTGTATATAAATCTACGTTCCTAATACATTAGACAGGGCATTCAGGAATATTGGGTTGTATAGGGTTAAAGAGAGCTGCATGCTACGACGAAAAGACCCTGAGACCCTCAATTGGCTACAAACACTGGTGTTGCAAAACCTCTGCTCCCACAGACCCCATTGAGATAATTGAACTTAAAAGGATACCCGAGCCCTGGGGTGCACGACTTTTGATTTAGTTGACTTTAAAGTCTTTATGTACGTTTCCGAGTCCTATGATGAGGCAGCCAATATAGATCTCGGTTTAGGGTCGTGTCAGCTTGTGGGTTTATGAGATTATATATACCATATATAAATATATAGATGTATTTATATGTATATTTTGATATATTTGCATGGTTTATTCACATACATATTTGTTTATTTAAGCGGATTCGGGAATACCAGGGGTTGTACAGGGCTTATAAGAGTCATGCAGTTTTGTTTGACTATGATCAGTGGGTTTAGGATCCTTCTGAAGCCTGAGACATCAAAATGCTAGAAGAGGGTATATAGAACCATATACAAAAGCCAGTCAAGCTAAGCACACTTCCATGGGTGACGTAGTCTGATCGCATTAACAACAACACACGTAGTCCTGACAGAAGCCACTCAGTGTGTCGACCCTACTGCTCACCATCCCCATAAGCCCTGTAATACCTTAAGTATATACAGCTGATGAGGTATGTCTGA